TATATATATAAAGGAGCAGCGCGTCATCACAGCTCCGCGGCGCTGAAGCAAGACGAAAACACGGGGAGGACAACACACCATCAGGCCGAAGTGCGAGACACCACCAGAGAGGGTAGTTCATCATGGCGCCTCAGAGACGTGAACTGAGCCACGCATTACCACAAGGCGGTGCGCAGTCGGCAGGAACGTGTCAGCGTGGCGGCGTCGATTGGGCGAGCAGCCACAAAAAAAAACACGCGTTTCGACCCCCAAACCGCAACCTCCCACCTTCCACCTCTGCACACTCCTAGCTGTTGCGCGTCCTTTTTGGGGGGTTTCTCTTCTCCTTTTGCTCGCGCACGCCAACGTAGTGGCCAGCCTCATAGCCGGCGCGGTAATACGCCACAGCCACGCGCTGGATTTCCGGCGGGAGGCCGCCAAGGTCACCCTGCAGCATCGGCGTTGGCGCCAACACCGCAGCAGCACCTGCAGCGTCCGTCACCCTCGCGGGTGAGGCAGACAATGATGAGGAAGAGGTGTCCTCCGTCCCAGCCTCATCATCATTTTCAGTGGTGGGGATGACGCTGCCGTTATCCGACGACCCAGGGCGCAATGCATTGTTTGTCGCTACCGCACCCTCCTCCTCCTTCTCCTTCTGCTGCTCCAGCTGCGCATTCCACAGGCGCACGAGATCGGCGTCATCCCAGAGGCTGTCGTCGTCCCTGCCGCGCTGGTACACGGCAGTGACACCCTGCGATGCGCCGCTCGCTTTTGAGTCTTTCCGTTGCATGTGAAAAAAAACGCGCGTGGACGCTCCTGTCCCTCCCTTCTATATCACCTTTTCCCCCGAGCGAATATATGTATTATTCGCAGCCGTGCCAGGCGGCACATCATCAGCAAAGCAAGAATGGGAAAGAAGACGAGGTAAAAAGAAAACTCATCCACAAATGGGGCACTGCAATGCGATGAAGCCAGGTGGGGCAAGCAAAGCAATGATGTGCGACGCGGCCACCACAGAGTTCATACCCGAAACGCCCATGCGGTGGTTCGCACCGCACGCGCCCGGGCTCGTTGCCGTCTCTCTTGCGTTCTCTCCGCTCTCGCCGGCACTGACGCACAGAGAGAGTACCATGGAGCCGTACGTGATTCTCTTCTACCACTTCATATATATATATGTATATATATATATCTCGCTTTGCACAACGCCCGCCCTCCGCAGCCGCAACTCAACAAGCGGAGCATGCAATACAAGGGAAGATGGAAAGAAGGGCAGTCAGTCGGCAGCAACTAAATGCGAAGAAACAGCCACACAAAAGAGATTCACGCACAGACACAGGCACACGCAATTGTCTTCGCTTACATTGTGAAGTGATAAGATCAGAGATTCGCGCTCAACAGCTTCCACACGAAAGCCCAGAGTACATGCAGCAAGATGAGAGCAAAAAAAAAAAAATTCGCGAAGGAGTGGCTGGAAAGAGCACAGCTGCGCGGTTATCTGCAGTGCGCCACGAGCAAACAAACAAAAAAAAAGACGAATTGAAGGCGGCAATCATCACGCGTGATGTGCCGATTCCACAAGCGACAACCCGCCACCAGAGACTCCTCCTCCCACACGCCCAAACAAAAACAAAAACAAAAAAGAAATCGCCACCGCACAACGTAAGCAACACAACGGGAGAACAACTCAACGGAAGCGGCGCAGACGACATAAACGATGCCGATGCTGGAGTGAGAGCGAGGGGGAGCTATACATCAGCGGGGAGCGCATTCCAGAAGTAATCGCGTCATCCTCCTTCCCGCACTGATCCGTATCATTTGTCCTTTGTCACAGACGAAAGCGAAATCACACGCACAATCCTCATCGTTCCGGTTTTCGTTAGTGTGCACAAAACACAAAAAAATTCTGTTATTATTTCTCTTCCCCCCCGCGCAGGCACGACAAATTTGCAGGTGGCACGTGCGAAACTCACGTGCAATAACGAAAATCAACAGAAAACAAAACAGTCAGACGGAAATCAGCTGCATTTACAACACAGCAAAGCGCTTACCAACCACAATAAAAAAAAAA